CAGCCTTCCACAAACAGAGGCCAGGGACACCATTTCTACCTCCTGGCTAATACCACTCCATGGACCCAACCTCCATGACTTGATCTCACTTCCCTTTAAACTCTGTTCTAGTTGTAGCCTTCACAGCCTCCTGCAGCAAGGAGTTCCACAGGTTGACTATTTGCTTTGTGAAGAAGAACTTTCTGTTGTTAGTTTGAAGCCTGCTACCCATTCATTTCATTTGGTGTCCTCTAGTCCTTCTATTATGGGAACTAACGAAGAACTTTTCTTTATGCACCCTCTCCACGCCACTCATGCTTTTCATAGAATCATAGAATAATAGGACTGGAAGGGACCTCAAGAGGTCATCGAGTCCAGCCCCCCGCCCTCAAGGCAGGATCAAGCTCTGTCTACACCATCCCTGACAGATGTCTATCTAACCTGTTCTTAAATATCTCCAGAGAGGGAGATTCCACCACCTCCCTTGGCAATTTATTCCAATATTTGACCACCCTGACAGTTAGGAATTTTTTCCTAATGTCCAATCTAAACCTCCCCTGCTGCACTTTAAGCCCATTACTCCTTGTCCTGTCCTCAGAAACCAAGAGGAACAAATTTTCTCCTTCCTCCTTGTGACACCCTTTTAGATATTTGAAAACCGCTATCATGTCCCCCCTTAATCTTCTTTTTTCCAAACTAAACAAGCCCAGTTCATGAAGCCTGGCTTCATAGGTCATGTTCTCTAAACCTTTAATCATTCTTGTTGCTCTTCTCTGTACCCTTTCCAATTTCTCCACATCTTTCTTGAAATGTGGCGCCCAGAACTGGACACAGTACTCCAGCTGAGGCCTAACTAGTGCAGAGTAGAGCGGCAGAATGACTTCACGAGTTTTGCTTACAACACACCTGTTGATACAACCTAGAATCATATTTGCTTTTTTTGCAACAGCATCACACTGTTGACTCATATTCAACTTGTGGTCCACTATGACCCCTAGATCCCTTTCCGCCATGCTCCTTCCTAGACAGTCGCTTCCCATCTTGTATGTATGGAACTGATTGTTCCTTCCTAAGTGGAGCACTTTGCATTTCTCTTTATTAAACCTCATCCTGTTTACCTCTGACCATTTCTCTAACTTGCTAAGGTCATTTTGAATTATGTCCCTATCCTCCAAAGAAGTTGCAACCCCACCCAGTTTGGTATCATCTGCAAACTTAATAAGCGTACTCTCTATCCCAATATCTACATCATTGATGAAGATATTGAACAGTACGGGTCCCAAAACAGACCCTTGAGGAACTCCACTTGTTATCCCTTTCCAGCAGGATTTAGAACCGTTAACAACAACTCTCTGACTACGGTTATCCAGCCAATTATGCACCCACCTTATCGTGGCCCTATCTAAGTTATATTTGCCTAGTTTATCAATAAGAATATCATGCGAGACCGTATCAAATGCCTTACTAAAGTCTAGGTATATGACATCCACCGCTTCTCCCTTATCCACAAGGCTCGTTATCTTATCAAAGAAAGCTATCAGATTAGTTTGGCATGACTTGTTCTTCACAAACCCATGCTGGCTATTCCCTATCACTTTATTACCTTCCAAGTGTTTGCATATGATTTCCTTAATTACCTGCTCCATTATCTTCCCTGGGACAGACGTTAAACTGACCGGTCTGTAGTTTCCTGGGTTGTTCTTATTCCCCTTTTTATAGATGGGCACAATATTTGCCCTTTTCCAGTCTTCTGGAATTTCCCCTGTCTGCCATGATTTTTCAAAAATCATAGCTAAAGGCTCAGATAGCTCCTCTATCAGCTCCTTGAGTATCCTGGGATGCATTTCATCAGGACCTGGTGACTTGCTGACATCTAACTTTCCTAAGTGATTTTTAACTTGTTCTTTGTGTATCCTATCTTCTAAACTTACCCTCTCTCTGCTTGTATTCACTACGTTAGGCACACCTCCAGACTTCTCGGTGAAGACCGAAACAAAGAAGTCATTGAGCATCTCTGCCATTTCCAAGTTTCCTGTTACTGCTTCTCCCCCCTCACTAAGCAGTGGGCCTACCCTGTCCTTGGGGTAGACAGAACTGTCTGTCCGGGGTGGGGGTCGGGTCCCTTTAAGCACAGCCCTCGGCTAGCCACCCCCGGGGACTATAGATTAGTCGACTAACCGATAAGAATTTGTGAGGTTACCTGACTATTCAATGAACCGATATTTAACATCCCTAATCTGTGTGTCCTGTAGCTGGACCAGATCTGCATTTCCTTCGATGGCGGCAAAACCACCATGAACTTCATAGAGGCAGCTCTCCTGATCCAGGGTTCAGCCTGCATCTATAGCAAGAAGGTGGGGGAGCCAAAGAGGCCTGTCGTGACTCACGTCTGCTGCCCCTGCAAGGCTGGGAGCAGAGCTTGCATGGCCTTGGCCAGCTGCAGGCGTGTGCAGTGGGTGCTTTGGGGAGGCTCACTTAACACTGAAAGTGTCAGGCCATCTGCGCGTGCGCTATTGACCAAAGGTAGCCCTGAAACAATCGGCCTCACAGGTTGCCAGATCCAGCCCCTACTGTGGCTCCCTCGTCTCTCTTGGGATACGGACGTGCAGCCTGCAGAGTCTCTCCAGAAAGTACTTTGTTCCTCAGGCGAAATGCTCCCTGCACCCGGAGTTAAGGCGAGAACGCAGAAGTTATTGAAAACAAACGTTGAGGCCTCTTTAGGGTCCCCTGTCCCCCTCAGCCCCTAATGAAGCAGCTTCCTGGAGACCCTTACAATTCAGCCTTTAACCCTCTTGCCCTGTTTTGGCAGGTGGAATATCTCTACTCTCTCGTTTACCAGGCCCTCGACTTCATCTCCAACAAAAAGTAAGTCCATTTTCCTTCTCTGGGAAGTTGCCCCTTTTGAAATCTGCCTGGGCTCAGTGCTGGGGGCTCTCAGCATGGCTCCCCGCAGGGTAGCTCAGCAGGCAAGTTCGTAGCTTTCTGTTCTGCCCCTCCTGTCCTTATTCTCACTCTCACGCTTCTTTGCCCCTCCCTCATCTCTTCTAGTCAAGCGTCTGGTTGTACTTTGCAAACACTACTCCTCCCTTAGATCAGGGATGTAATAATGTAGTCGATTAAACCAGTGTTTCCCAACCAGTGGTACGAGTACCCTTAGGGGCACTCGAGAGAAGTCTGGGGGAGACGTCAACACAGCTGAAATTTGGAGAAAACTGAATGTTTGTTTTAAGTTTTACCGTGTTTTATTATTTTTGTACTTTTTACACCCAAAAACGTCATCGCCCGCCCGGCTACGTTTAAGTTGTTTAAACAAATGTGTTGCAATGGTAGAAAAAAGTTTTGTGTGTCTGAAAACTTGTAACAAAATACAGGACTATGCAGCACTTTCAAGACTAACAAGATGGTTTATTAGGTGATGAGCTTTCGTGGGCCAGACCCACTTCAGTTACTGGGGGTACTTACCCCCCTTAAAAAAAGGGGGGGTATTTCATAAAAAAAAAAGGTTGAGAAACACTGGATTGAATGATTAACCAAGATGCCAAAGCTTATCAGTTAATTCCTTCGAGGAGATGCATTACTCCCCCACCAGTACACTTTTTTAGGGGGCTGGCCAGCAGCCTGGCTCAGTCCCGACTGGTGCTGGCTCCTGGGAGCTACGCCCGTTGTGAACAGATTTTTTTCAGGACTGGAGCCTAGCATTAAACCCGCCAAACACCACGGAGCCAGTCCTGGACGACTGGTTTAACACCAGATGAATGACGAGCCTGCCCAGTGATCTGAGCAGGGAGTCGTTCTCATGGGTTTATTCCCTCTTCTCCCACTGACTTCCTGTGCAGACTTGGGCAAGGCCCTTCGCTTCCCACCCGCGCAAACAGCCATCGTTTCCCTATGTCTAAAGCAGGGATGTGAAGAAGCGTGTAATTGGTTAATCGTGAAGAAGTGTGTAATTCGTTAATCGTGTAACCGACACCTTTTTTGTCCACTACACGATTACTCTAGAAGGACTGGCACTGCAAGACTCAGTCCCGGCTTGTGCTGGGTCCCGGGAGCGACCCCTGCTTTGTTATGCTACATGGGAGTCTGCTGTCCTGTGTGGCCTTATGTGTGTGCCTCGGTTTCCCTGGGCACTGCATCAGTAGCGAGGCGAGGGTGGGAATTTGGGTGTGACTGCCTCCCCCACGTGCACAATGGCTGATGCCTCCTGCAACCTGAGCCTGGGAGGGGGGTGTGACCAGGGGATACCTTTTGCCCAGGAAACTGGACAAACGCTGCGGGTGGGGCTGGCTGCTGGGGGAGATGGGCTGCTGGGTGTGTGAGTGAGTCTTGCCAGCTGGGGGTGCAGGGAGAGGGCCCCTCCGTGGCCAGGGTGGATGGTGCTGGCTGCTCCAGGTTCCCTTGCTGACCAGTCTGTTCTACGCCGTGTCCCTGTTGACTGATAAGCCCTCTGCTCTCCCTGCCAGCCGAGAGTCGCATCTGGCTGCAGCTGGGGGTGCAGGGCCCGGGGACTCCCCGCCCCTCGGAGACAGGCCCCTTCTCTAGCACTGTACCGGGTCCTCTCTTGTCCTTGTGGCTTTATCTGCTGCCCACTTCTGGCCTGGAGCAGACACACGAGGTCCCCGTGTCTTTAGTCAGAGATCCGGGGAAGGCCCTGTCCCCGGGAACGTCCCGGCTGCCACCAATGGTTTTCCTAGCGCTCTCTTGTGGCTTTTCCACTCTAACCCAGGCGGGACAGGCAGCCGACCTCGGTGGGGGAGGATGGGACGGACGCTGACGTGAGCACTGGCCCCAGGAGGGAGGAGGAAGAGGTAAGATGCTGGGCGGGGGGGTGCCGTTCCTGTGTGTGCCAGCAGGGGGAGTGTGGGCAGTGTTCCAGCTGTCTGCACCCCTGGCAGAACCGGGGATCTGCCTGGGAGTGTGACCCTGGGCTGCGGCTTCCGGTGCCAGGTCTAACTGTGCCCAGGCTGGTTGGCTGCTCTGATCCCTCGCCGCCAGACCCCTCCCAAGCTGCTCTTCTCTGGCTCTGGGGTATTTAGCATCCACTGCTCCCTCCTCCCTGCTCCCAGACCTCCTGGCCTTCCAGCACTTCACCGCCTGGGACAGAGCCCTCTGCCCTGCTCCAGAGACTGGCTGCTCGACCGCCACAGCTCTGTCTGCCGGGACAGAGGGCTGACGGCTGCGGGAGGCGTCAGCCGGTGACCAGTACAGCTGGCATGGCTAACCAGCCGTGCTGCTTGGGGAAGCCTGGTGTGCTGGCTTTGGGGAGCAGGGCCTGCCCGGGGCGTCCGTCTGGTGACGAAAGGTCCCAGCTCCGAAGCCTCTGAGGGTAGGGATGTTTCCCAGGGCCACCGTGTGCAGCGTTCCCATTGGTTCTGCCCCCTCGTCGGCCCTGGGTGCAGAGGCAGCTCTGCAGAGCCCTGGTTTGGGTCGGGGGCAGCGGGCTGTGCCTGGGGCAAGGAGTCAGGATTTCTTCCGCCACTGGGCACGTCGCTTGACCTGCCTTCGGGGCGCAGCGCGACGTGTCCGTGCAGCCCGTCCAAGAGAGACAGCTGTGTGGGCGAAGGGCTCAGCCGCACCCCGCTCTCCTTGCAGTTCCTCTCGCTGGACGACATCAGGGATGAGGAAGGACCACCAGCCTCCCGTGAGTCACGGTCCCCAGTAGGGAGGGAAGAGTTTAACCGGTTAACTGATGAGCATTAGCTTAGTGATTGCACCTCCTGGTTAAACTTCCAGGAGCCCCCAGGGCCGGCAGCCCGTGGAGCATTTAACCGTGTGACTGGGGGCGAGGAACCTTTTTTGGGTCAGGGCCACAGAAAAATCAGTCGGGGGCTGCACATGAGCAAGAAGCAAAAAACCAAACCAAGCCTCCTTCCCTGATGGGGCCGCTGACTGAGGAGAAAGACACGGCCCCCAGAGCCTCGCGGGGCCAGGCTAATAGATTTTGTGTGCTCCAGTCCCGTGTGGGGCTGGTGGGGGGGACTGGAGTGCTGGGTGGGCTCAGCCTTGGGGGAGAGCCCTGAGCCTCGGGGGCTGGATCCAGGCAAGCAGCCCCCGGGCCTTAGGCTCTCTGGCCCTGCTGTAAGCGATTGTATTTCAACCGGTTACGTGGTTAGTTTTTAAAATGTTTGCATCCCTAGTCCCTATCTGATGTGCCTGCCACGCTCCTGTCCCTTCTGCCCCTGCATCACGGGGCTTCTGAGGCTAGAGTCTGCCAGCTTCCCCTGCCCCCGGGTCTCCTCTAACTGAGCCGCGCTGCTAGCAGAAACCCCTGCCAGCAAGGGAGAATTTATTCCTCCAGCCAGGACCCTCCTCAGCAGCAGCAAAAGTGGCACGCTGTGGGTACCAGCAGCTGTCCTGTGGCTGGCCAGAGCCAGAGTCAGCCTGCCCCGACAGCCCTGAGAGCAGAGGGCAAAAGCTCTCCGGGTGTGTGATCACTTCTTCCCGGCTGCAAGGCCCCTGTCTCTGGAGAGCAGCCGGGTCCCCTCCTCCCGCAATGGGCAGCTGGGATCATGCGGTCCTCCCTTTGCAGACGGTGAACATCGTTCCCTTGACTCCCATGGCCCTGGTACCGCCGGAGGAGATGGAGAAGAGAGACAACCCCCTGCTCAGGTAAAGGCTCCCCGCGACGTGATCACTTCTTCCCGGCTGCAAGGCCCCTGTCTCTGGAGAGCAGCCGGGTCCCCTCCTCCCGCAATGGGCAGCTGGGATCATGCGGTCCTCCCTTTGCAGACGGTGAACATCGTTCCCTTGACTCCCATGGCCCTGGTACCGCCGGAGGAGATGGAGAAGAGAGACAACCCCCTGCTCAGGTAAAGGCTCCCCGCGACGTCACTCCTCTCCGACGTGAGGTGGGTCACCATGAGCCTGGACGGATGGAGGCCTTGTGTCCCGAAGCAGGGAGGGAACAGCCCCCCTCTCTGGCCGGCTGCAGGGAGCCCTCGCTGGGATTCTGCCCACAGCTCTGGCCCCATCGGATCAGAGAGTGGGGCTATGTAGGGGGCGTTGCGTCCCTCGGTTAAGTAAACGCTGCGCAGATGAAGGCAGGAGGAAGCCGTGAAGGCTGATGCATGGGGGCCTGGGGTTTTGTCTGGGCATCTCCGAAATGGGATTGAGTACCTTGGGGGGGTTTCTCCCCCTTTGCTCCATGGCCAGTTGGAAGTTGTGAATGGGGAGCCAAGCCCTGGCATGTTTGGAAAAACGATTTCCCTAGGAGGATGGGGAAGCACTGGGATGGGTTCCCTAGCGAGGGGAGAAGTCTCCATCCCTAGAGGTTTTGAGGTCCTAGCCTGGCTGGGCTGATTGAGTGGGGGTTGGTCCTGCTTGGGCAGGGGGCTGGACCCGGTGCCTCGTGAGGTCTCTGCCGGCCCCAGGCTTCTGTGGCTCTACCAAAGCGTTCGGGGCCCAGAGGGAGACGTGAGCTGAGCTGAACCAGTCCTGTCTGGCTAAGCGACGGGGACGGGCTGCTGGCCTGAGCCGCATGGGAGGGTGGGGCCAGGTCTCCCCAACGCAGCCCCCCGAGGTCCCGTTCTGTGCTGGCTTGGGGGGGTGACTGGGCTGATGGACCCAGCGTCTCGCCCTTCTTCCTGGCGCCCTGCGCAGCCCAATATGAAACCTCGCGCTGGCTGCGCCCGGGGCTGGGTCAGAGCCGTTCTGATGCCGCTTTCTCCTCGCAGCCGGAAGGGGGAGATCCTGGCCAGCCGGAAGGATTTCCGCATGAACACGTGCACCCCTCACGCCAACGGAGCCTTCATGCTGGAGCTGGCCGGCCTCTCGCCCACGCAGTGCCCCCAAGCACGACCCCCGGCCAGGGAGCCCGGCAGCGCCACAGGTGCGGGGTTGGGCTGGGGGGGTTTCCCGTGGCCACTCCAGAGAGCACTGGGGGGATGTGGGCCTATTCACTGATACCCCCACATCTGGGGAGAGGCTCTTTGTTCCTGCCCTTTCAGCGTCCCCTGGCTCAGGCTGGGTGAGCTGCTGAGCTGCGTCCTGCTGTCGGCTGGGCCTGCCTCCCGCGACGATGCTGAGGGGCCCGTGACCGGCCCACTGCAGCACGGCTTGGGTGGGGGAGAGACGAGGGGACTGGCTGGGCCAGCAGTTGCCCTCCTAGGGGCTCCTGCCCTGGGCCAGGCGCTGCTCCACAGGAGAGGCCGAGCTGAGGGGAGCTGGCTACTCAAGTCGGCCTGGTTTGTGGCTGGCTGGAGGGAGCCTTGGTCACCAAACCAGGAACTATTCGAGGGGGTTCCTTGGGGGCCGAGCGCCGTGTGGGGGGCTCAATAACAAATCTCCCCCGCCCCCAGGAGAGCAGATCGGCCCGCAGCCTGGAAACGTGCCCACGGAGCACAGTGTCTGCAGAACGCCTGTCCCGGTCCTGAACTTCTCTGACCATGAAGGTGAGCGACGCGGCCGGCTCGCTGTGTGAGGCCGGGGCGCTGGCGGCGCTCCGCCCCCGGTTCCCTGCCACAGGGGGCCATGGGGATGCTCCCGTTCTCCCTGGCAGCCCTGTGGCTTGGGGGTGGGTCGGAGCAGGTCTCGGTCACTCGAGACCCTTCAAAGGGGCAGGGGGGGGGCTGGCTGTTCAGAGCTGCCTGAGCGGTCCCTCTTGGGAGTGGGGCGGGGGGAGGATGGGTGGCTTTCCAGGGGCTCTCCCTAGGCCGGGCTGGGAAGGGACCCGTCTCTCCAGGTGACTGTGCCCCTCTCTGGCAGGCGCCGTGGCACCAGAGTGTGGCGGAGGGGACGACGATGACGCAGGAGGCGGGGGCGATTTCTGGCCCGATGCCCCAGCAGGAGGCGTGGAGGCCAGTCCTGCTGGGGAGCACATGCAGCAGCAGAAGGTAGGAGGTGGGGCTGTGGCCGGGGGGTGGACGGGAGGCCTGCCGCACTGGCTCCCATCCAGCAGCCTGGGTCCTGCTCCCTCCCCTCTGTATACTGCCTCGGAAGCTGCCTGCCTTGTCCTCTGCCTGCAGAGCGCGCCCGAGGGCAGGGGGTACATGCTGCGGGAGAGGGCCCCCGCCGTGGACCCCAACGCCCACATAAAGGTGAGAGTCCCTGGAACGCCTCCGGAGGGGCAGCAGCGTCCCTGTGGGGTGGAGCGAGTCCCCGCTGAGGCAGGTGATCTAGGGGCTGCCCTGTGCAGGGGGCGTTGCCAGGGGGCAGAGCCCTAGAGCCAATCGCAGCGGCCCCTGGCTAGTGCCTGGGTGCTCCTGGCCGGCTCAAGGAGGGGGCTGTGCCAGGTGGGAACCCGCAGCCTGGCCGGCGAGCGGTGACATTCACCAGTCCCTTGCGTTCTGGGGCAGGAGATGCTGGATCCCTGGCGGAGCCTCGACCCCTTTGACGACTCCGAGGACAAGCCCTTCAAGAAAGGTACCGAGGGGCCGGGTGGCTTGGCCCGGCTGCTCCCTGGGGTTTAGCCGCTGGCCCGGGATGGGCTCCTAGGCTGGGCGTTCGGCTCCGGGGATTGCCCGCTTGCTGGGGGCAGGGAAGCCCGTGTCTGAGAGCTCCTGCTGTCCATGGGGCAAAGGTCACTGCCCCCATCCGGAGTTGAGCCCTGCGGAGAGCGGGTGTCCCAGCCTGCGGGGGCCCCCTCGACTGACAGCAAGAACAGCGGGACCCCAACCTGCCTCCCATGGCGCTTGCGGGATTGCTGGGTGCTGAGAAGTGGTGTCAGGCCCTGGCCTCAGAGCCCCAAGGAGCACAGGCGCCTCTGCTGGGGAAGGGGACCTGGCGAGGCTACGTTCCTGGGTCTTAGTCCCGGGGCAGGCGCTGGCTGTCAGTGGCTAAGGAGCCAGAGACTGGCAGGGCCCCTCGCCGCCCACC